AAATACATAATTAGAAAATTAAAAATATAAAATAAGAACAAACAAACAAAAAAAAAAAAAAAAAAAAAAAAAAAAAAAAATCACCTCGGTTTGGGCCTTGGCCTGACCCGCTTGGTAGCTAGCGTTTTGTGAGTCCATTTTGTATTAGTACTTGAGAATGGAAAATATTTTTATTTTTTGGTTTGTTTCTAACTCTTGTGAAAAACTCAAATTTGATTAATTTATTGAATTAGAAAGGGAATGAATTTATAGATATGTTTGGAAATTAAATGAGTGGTTGATACTTTTGTGAAATGAGCTCCTCATAAAATGTGCGTTTAAAGGTTGTTGTGATCCATATTTTCAGAACATCCATAATTTTAAAATCTATACTTTGACTGCTTCATAGATTTGGTAATTGCCTAATTGGTACGAGTTACATTTAGTGGATTGGTGGAAGACAAAATTAACTTATAATTTTGTTGGATTTGTTTAATGTGTTATTTGAATTATCAAAATTTTAATTAAAGCATTGGTAAACAAAATTTAACTATGAGTTAATAAGTATATATATATTATTTTATTTTATTTGCCAAGATAATAAGTATATTTCTTATAATTATAGTATGTAAATAATGTAATTAAAGACATACGCAGTTAAATATGTAAGTGCAGATATTAAAAGTCAAAAATTGCACATTTTATTACACTATAATATATATTTCCCATTTCTTGCATAACACATACTTTGATAATATGTTGTAGTATAAAAATTGTATTATTAATTTGATATTTTTACTTAAACATTTGAGAAATATTTTATTTACATTAGGCCAAGAAAGCTTTAAATTCTTGGAAAGAAAAAAAAGAAAAAAGAAAAAAGAGAAAAAAAAAAAAAAAAAAAAAAAAAAAAGAGAGAGAGAGAACAAAAAGAAGAAAGCTTTAAATTGGTTTTTCTCATCCATCAATATATTATAGAAGTTTCTAGGGGTACTATAATTTTATTTGGTTTGTAGTAATACGAAATTCATAAACGATAATTGAAATAATAGAAAACATTATGAACGTTTATGGTGGTACTAATAGATTTAAAACTCTGTGCAATGTAAACAATGCTGTTATAAATTGTATACATAGAGAATTTTGACTGGTAAAGAGGTTGTGATTAATACTACGGTACATAGCTTAATATAATAATACTAGATGAATTATTTTACTAAAATATTTTTTTTATTATAATAACTCTGATGTACGGTTTCTTTGTATTTTTTTCAAATAAAATATTTTACTAAATATATATTCATCTAATAAACTTTATGGTATTTGCTTGCTTACTATTTGAATTTTTTATTATAAAATGAATTATTAACTTTGTTTCTCATATTTAGATAAAATTCGTAATATAAAAAGATAATATTTTATTTCACAAAGTTTCATATGTGACTCAATCGATCAAATTCATATCTAGTCACACCGTGTGGTCGGGATTACTTGGTCATGAGTTACTTGGTTGATCAAGGGTTACTCAATCGATCAGGGGTTATTTGGACGGTCAGGGGTTACTCGGTCAATGTTTGGGTGTATCTCAGCCGGCCACACGATATGTTCAACCACAAAAAAAACACGCTGATTTTATTTTTATAATTAATATAAAAAAAATTATCTAAAATAAATTTCAATTCTTTTTTTTTTTTCATTAGCTAAAATATGACATTTTCCTATGTGACGCTCTAAAATTAATCTTATGTGGCATAATCCTATTGTAGCGTTTTAAAATTATTAATCCTACGTGACGGTTTTTTATTATAATCCTACATAGCGCTTTAAAAAACTGATCTCACGTGGCATAATCCGATTGTAGCGTTTTAAAATATTTATCCTAAGTGGCGCTGTAATAATTTTTTAAAAAATAAAATCCTACGTGGCGCTCTAAAAACTTGGGAAAATACCCCCTTTATATATATATATACTAGTTTTGTGCCCGGGTGATGCCCAGATGGTTGATAAAATTTTAAGATAACATTTTTACTTTAATGTTAATAAATGCAGTCATATAATCCGTTATGATAATATAGGATATTTGGACATACGATATCATATGGCTTATATTTATATAACAGTGTACTTTTTGTAGTTTTGTTTGTAAATAAATATCAATGTTATTATTGACTTGAAATTACTTATATTGAGCTTAAATTATTTTTACTAAACTTAAAGTATTTTTACCAAACTAAAATTATTTTTACAGATTAAAATTTATTTTTACTGATTCTCTAATATTTTTCATAAAATAAAATAACAATGCATTTTGTATGCGGCTAGCCACACCATCTGTCCGGACAAAGTAACCCCTATAAAACTGACCGAGTAACCCTTGTAATACTAACTGAGTAACCTCTAACACTGACTAAGTAACCCTATCTATAACACTAATTGAGTAGCCACTATAACACTGACCAAGTAACCCCTATAACACTCACAAAGTAACTCTTATAAGAGTTGATGACACGGTTTGACAAGCTACATATAAAAGTTTGTGATTAAATATATTTAAATGGATCTTATTTTAAAGAACTTTTTAAAACGAATTTGATGATGGAAATAGAATTAAGTAATAAGATATTTATAAAAAGTTATGATTAATTTTGTATATATAAAATATTATAATTCTATCGATAATAAAACTCTATACAACAATTTTATCTTAAAAAATCTATCCAAAAATGCTTACTTAGCATCGTAGGTGTCACAATAATACCTATTTATCACCTACGTGGCGCGACACTTGTCGAAAAATTGGAATGTCAAGTGTCATTGTCTCGTGGCCTGGCTACGAGACCGGGCTTTATTTATTAGTGACTAGTTTTGTGCCCGGGCGATACCCAGATGGTTGATAAAATTTTAAAATCAACATTTTTACTTGAATGTTAAATACGGTCGAATAATTTGTTCTGATAATGTAGGATATTTAGATTTACGATATCATATGGAGTGTATTTTGTGTAGTTTTGTTTGTAAATAGATATCTACGTTATTATTGACTTGAAATTATTTTTATTGAACTTAAAATATTTTCAATGAACTGAAAGTATTTTACCAAATTAAAATTATTTTTTATTAAAAATTATTTTACTAATTATCTAATATTTTTTAAATAATTTAAATAACAATGCATTTTGTATGCGGCTAACCACACCCATCTGGCCGGACAAAGTAACCCCTATAAAACCGATCAAGTAACCTTTGTAATACTAACTGAGTAACCTCTAACACTGACTAATTAACCCCTATCTATAATATAATACTGATTGAGTAACCACTATAACACTAACCAAGTAACCTCTATAGCACTAACGAAGTAACTCTGATCTTGTAATAGTTGGTGACATGGTTTGGCCAGCTACGTATAAAAGCTTGTGATTAAATATATTATAAATGGATCTTATTTTAAAGAACTTTTTAAAAAAAATTTGATGATGGAAATAGAATTGAGTTATAGGTTATTTATTAAAAGTTATGATTAATTTTGTATGTATAAAATATTAAAATTTAATCGATAATAAAACTCTATATAACAATTTTATCTTAAAAAATATATCCAAAAATTGCTTTGTTTATCTCCTACATGGCGCGACACTTGGTGAAAAACTGGAATATCAAGTGTCGTTGTCTCGTGGCCTAGCTGCGAGACCGGCTTTATTTATTAGTGATATATGATATGACTAGTTTTGTGCCCAGGCGATGCCTAGATGGTTGATAAAAGTTTAGGATAAACTTTATGGATTGAATGTTAATACGATCATATAATCCCTTTTGATAATGCAGGATATTTAGACATATTGAATTGAAATATATTTTATTGAATTGAAATTATTTTTACTAAACTAAAAGTATTTTTACCAAAACAAAAATCATTTTTCATGAATAAAACTTATTTTCACTAATTCTATATTATTTTTGTAAATAAATTAAATATATTATAAATGGATCTTATTTTAAAGAACTTTTTAAAACGAATCTTCTGATGAAAATAGTACCGGGTTATAAGATATTTATTAAAAGTTATGATTAATTTTGTATGTATGAAATATTAGAAGTATATCGGTAATAAAACTTTGTACTACTTTTTTATCCTTAAAAATCTATCCAAACTTCGCTTACTTAGCATCATGTGTGTCACAATAATACCTATTTGTCGCCTACGTGGCGTGACACTTGGCGAAAAACTGGAATGCCAAGTGTTGCTATTTCGTGGCTGCGAAATTGAAACCGAATTTATTTATTAGTGATATATGATATGATATGATACTAGATTATAACATTACAAATCCAAAAGTAATAAGACCGACCTCACTTGATGATGGTTCATCTTATATTATTAGCTTACAAATACAATCAAAGATATATCAAGACATGAAAAATACATTAATTTCAAATAAATAAAAAATCATATCAAACCCCATTGGACCATAAGAAGTAACTTTATTTATGTGAAAAGACCATAAGTTAAGTTGAAAATATGATCCCGATAAAATAAGACAAATTTGTTAAAAGATAAATATTGCTACATACATGCAAGTGATCCAGCATATGTTTTGTTTTTCTTTCATTTTTTTAACAACAACTCTAAGTGAAAATTATTGATAAACTAAAATATTTGAATGTCATCCTTAATGGCGCAACTAAGCTATTAACTTATTTTAAGAATCAATATAAGTATTTTTTTTTTTTATTTACATACTCTAATATTTATTAACTTCTTTTCTATGGTGTAAGGAGGATAATCCTAACTGAATCTCAAACCATCACGTCTTCTTAAGCTAGTGAAATTAAAAGCATAATGTTGTACACTTTGATAAGTTTTAATTTATTCATTGAGAAAGGAAGAATACGAGCATACAACATTTAATTCCCAACTTTCATTTGTACGAAGTAATAACACAAGATGGTGTTAATTTGAAAGGAAATAATAATTTTCATATTCAATCAAAATAAATAAAACTTTAAGTACCGAGAGGAAATCGAAAACTAATTGAGGCAAATAAAATTTCACTTCATTTTATATAAGAAGTTCGAAGAACTAGTAGTAGTACGATATTACATTGGACATCTAGAGGATATAAATCATCTCTATTTAGGATAAAATTAAAATAAACCCTAAAAACACCAAAACATAGTACTAGAAAAAAATGGCTAGAAACTCAAGCTTCGCCCCACTTATTAAAAAAGCTAGATTCATAAAAAGTAGCCAAGACTTCAATTAAAGTTAGGTGCTTCATTTGTTCATTCCGGTGGCTTCCTTCACTGAATCCATTGTGTCTCGTGCCTTAGCTTGCATTTGTGCTCCAGCCTACATGTAATCAAACTATGGTATTAAGAAATTTCTAGCATGCGAGGAAATGTCACCTTTGAAAGTAATATATACGACTAATTTTATAATGAAAGCACATGTCTTATCATACAACCGTCTCAAAACATGCAAGATTTGGTTTAAAATAAGAGAAAGACAGAAATGGACCTCTTGAATGGATTCCTTGGTTGATTGGGCAGCGGAGCTAGCCTTGTCTGTCAAGTTGCTAGCCTTCTCCTGTGAGACAACACACAACAACAAGAATTAGCACAAGTACGCACATGCTTAAGAATTGAACCGTGAAAATTAAGACATGGTGTAATGGTAACAAGGAAAAAAAAAATTGAATTATAGGTCATATTACTATCAAACTCGGGTGTTTAATAAATCTTTAAAGAAAAACCAAGTGAAATTTAAAGAATTAAAGAGACATAACATAACACGTTAAACATATATGAAATGAAAAGTTTCAAAATTCTCACCTCAGTTTGGGCCTTGGCTTGACCAGCATGGTAGTTAATGTTTTGTGAGTTCATTTTCTATGTATTGAACTTGTGTTTTGTTCTTGAGAAGATAAAGGTTTTCTTGCTTTGTTACTTGTGAAAAACTCAAGTGTTGATGATTTGCTTCTTAGAAAAGGAGTGTATTTATAGTATTGTTTGATAATCGAGTGAGTGGTTGAAACTTTTTTGGAATGTGCTCCTTACAAATGGTGCTAAAATGTTGATGTACGATCCATATTTCAAGGAAAATTAAAAATTGCAAGATATACAAAAATTTCAATTATATTTGACAATAATGGGGTATTTAGGTTAATTAATTCATTGCCAAGTGGTAATGTAACAGTTAAATTAGGATTAGAGATAAAGTTTGGAGAGGAAAAAGGAGTGTGTTTTTTTATGGTTTCCCCTTCATTCTCGGTCTACTGAAGTATAGAATATGTTAAAGTATATCGTACCACATAACACATGTAAGCGTCCTACATTGATAAAACAAGATAGAGTTAAAAACTTTGTAAGGCTAAGGGGCTTCTCCTCCTATTGTCGTATGATTTTGGGATGAAATCTCCTTTGGATTTGTGAAGTGGACTCTCTCTCTTAGTTTGCGGGTGCGGCTTAAACTCATATTTAACAGAATATCTCTATTTATTATTGTTCACTCGTATTATTTAATTTATTATAAGTATAAATAAATTATTAGTTAACATTTGACCTAAAATCGAGAATGATTGCTAATTTTGGATGGAAGAAGTAGCAAATTACATTGCAGAATAGTGATTTTCTAAAGAGGGAAGTAAACTAAACAAACTGATCTGAGCTCAGGTCTTAATTCCACTCACTACAAATGTTTACTCGTATAAAGTAGAGCAGCCAGAATTAGAGTATTAGAGTTAGTGAAATTGATCTGTATTCCTAGTATCATTATTGTGTTAATTTAAAATTACCATAAGTTACATTGTTTTTCATTTAATAGATCTATAAAAATAATTTAAGTTTCAATTCTGGAATTAATCAGTACAAAATTATAACGATCGCCAAGAAGTAGTATTTATTTAATTATATATTTTTATTGTAGATATTAGAGTAATTTTTATGATGTACGAAAATGGTTTTCAACATGCCTCCCTATACACCAAACATAATTGAAAACAAATTAAACATGTGCTTTACAGTGTTTTTTGGTAGCAACCAACAAATTTAACTTTTATTATTGGCTAAACAAAAATCAGTAGCAATTACATCTTTTATAATCAATAGACATTTCCCACTCACACTCTAATAGAAGAGTTTTAACGGGCCAAAATGAGTTAGAGTGCAGCAATTTCATTAGCTTCCCTAAAAAGAGTTTTAACAAAATAAAATTACTGAATGTTCACATCCAAATTACCATTAATCTTTTTCTCTTGTAGTTTTACACTACTTATGAACAATTAGTCCCCTATAAAAAATCTATAATCTTATATAACTAATATTAAAATAGCAACCGCTGACATCATTATATCCTAAAATTAGACACATGTCATGTTGTCATTAAAAAATTTCCCTCAAAAACTATAAATGATGTCATCATTTTTTTTTTAATTTTATTAAAATTTTGGTAAGTAATATTATTATTAGTTTTAATTTCCAAAAAACAGTCTATTCTCTCTAACAATAATAATTTAATTTCTCTTCCTCAGGTACCCCTTTCATCATTCAATTTTTATATGAGCTCTAAATTTTTTCATCATTCATTTAATTCTGATTTATTATTTGTTTTAAGTATTTTTTTATAATTTCAGTATGAAAAAATAAACAAATTTAGAAATTTTATTTGTTTAAATCGTGCATTGCACGAGAGTAACGAGACTAATCTAGTACGAGTAATTAATTAAATGATCAATGTCCAAATGGGCTGATAACTTCAAATAGGTAGTCAAAAATGACATGGCAGGTTTTTCAAATGAGCTCGTGGATTGGGCCAAATGGCCCACTCACCTCAGGTAAAGCCATAAGGCCCAATTCAAAGATGTAACCTGATATTATCGATTATTTCCTCTGTATATTCACCTAACTTATTGCATCTATACTCTATGACAATAGGATTATCTTAATAATCTTTTCTTAATGCTAGTAATATCCTTTCTCAAAGATATTATTCACAGTATTAGATAAATAATATGAGTAGATAATATCAAAGATATATCTTTGATACTACAACAATGTAGACCTTTGCATTAATCATATTTATGTCAACATGGTGAAGATTTTCCTAATACAATATTTGATATTACCATTACATTGCCTTTAAATATCGATCTTTAAATACTTTATACTTCTATATATAATATATAAGGTGGTATATCGGAAAATTTTCTATCGTCTTTAATTATGAGAGATTTATCAAATAGAGTCCTTTAAGTGAATATTTGCTAACTCGAATAGGGTAAAATTTTCACATCTTATTAAATTAGTAGGATGATTTTTTCAACTAATTAACAAAGTACAGAGTACTACTTATCAAATCCTCCTTATGTTGTAACTTGCAAAGGTACATACATAACTCGACGGTTTATTTATAACCTAAGGGGGGAAAAAAAAAAGAAGAAGAAGTTTAACAAATTAATTATTTACATGTGCGTACACTACTTAATCAATTATACGAGTATTGTTTAATTAATTTGCTCATATATATGCTAATATTGAGATTTAAACGTGTGTGACACAGTATTACTCTAACTAGCTCTTGTTAAAGCCTAATAACACGCTCAAATCAAACGAGATTCTTATAATCTCATCCACAATTAATTTTGTGTACTTGCGCTAGCTTAAGGATTGATGTTTATATATTATACGGGGTAATTGCATTAAAACTTCATATAAGAGATTAAATGCGGTAAAACGTATACTTGTAACTCACAGGACTTTTCATTTAAACGTAAACTAGATTATTAATTGCATGGCTTCTTAAATAGAGCATACAAGATAAACAAAATTGCTAAGAGAAAACCAAAAAAAAAAAAAAAAAAAAAAAAAAAAAAAAGGCCCTAGAAAATCTGGCACAATCAAGCTAAGCTTCTTCAATGGCTGATGATTTTCGAAACATAACTGCCTCATCTATTTGCTGCTGCTCATGGAATCCTTCACTGCTTCCATAGCGCCTTGCGCTTTAGCTTGCATTTGTGCTCCAGTCTATATTAAATAACACAAATTTCACATATTAATTCATAAATAACCTAAGTTTAATTTATATGTAAATATAATTTTCATTAATGTAACACTTGTAAAAATTGATATGTACTTAAGGGAAATAAGAATGGACCTCTTGGCATGATTCCTTGGCAGATTGGGCAGCATTGGTAGCCTTTTCTGAGATGTTGCTAGTCTTCTCCTGTAACACAAACCAATGAAATAATAAATCCAATGTGTTTATTATTAGCATGTGTAAATAATTTTTATTATTTCCAACAAAAAAACATTATTTGATTATATTAATTAACATCTAAACTATTTTGAAACCATTTTATTAAACTATTTCTTAGCTTTCTAGCTTGTAATGGGACCTTGTCTATACTAGCTAGTACTCCATACATGACTAAGCCATAGTCCACCTCTTCATAAAGACGGGTGTTAAGCTAATTTTTAACTTAGATATTCACCTTTTGTTCCGTTATTGTTAGATTAAAATGTCGTAAATTATTTTTAAAAAAATAAAAAAAATATCCTATTTAATTTAACCTCTATAGTGACGAAAAATAAACCAAATGTTGTTTTACCTTGGCTTGGCCCTTGGCCTCACCAGCATGGAAACCAAGATTTTCAGACGAGTTATTCATTTTCTGAAAATTTCTTTGAGAGGAGATGTGAATTGTTGTTTTAAGTCTTTTGAAAACACTGAATTTTGGATGATTTGCTTCCAAGGATAAAGAGAGGTATAAATAGTTTTTGCATCACATGAAAGTTGACAATTGTATGCATGTAATGTGTAATGAACTCTTAAGTCCTTGATACGTGGTTGGTAATTTTTTTTTTTTTTAATTTTTTTAAGGTAAGAAAAAAAGAAGACGTTAGCCAGTAATTGGTTGATATGAGATCCATAGTTTAAGGAAAATCTTTTAGAAGAGGTACTACTATACTAGATGTACACTATTAGTTTTGTATTGAACTTTTGTCACAAGTGGTTGTCCCTATTTCTAGCTTTTAGTTAAATTGATGGTTGCAAGAAATTAGTTTTAACAAGTTACTCATACTTTGTGTTTCGGGTGAAAACAATGGGACCTTGCCGAAGGTCCGCTGAAATGGAGAAGGCTGGATTCGGTCCAAGTTATGTTGGGCCGAAGATTTCCTGCACAGTAAACACACGTAAACTAGCCTCGGGGGTGTTGCCGAGGAAGGCCCCTCCGATGCTAAAGTCAGTACAATGTGTAAGAAGAAGACACTATGCAAGAGAGTTTGTTGCTTGAGGCTTTTATGGAATATATCAGAATATATGAATGAACATATGAATCTATGAATGAATCAGAATGAATCTCCCCTTGAATCTATCAATATGATGCTTTATACCTCATTATACATGGAGAGGTTGGGCCTTAGCCCAATTGGCTTGCTTTGTGGGCTGACCTTTGACTTTAGCACAATTGGAGAGCTGAACCTTGACCTTGGGCTTTTAATTGGATCATTTAGTGCTTAGGCCCAATTGGACTAAATTGGACCCAAACAACTTGCCCCCCAGACCCGATTCGGAAGAATGACGGGTCGGGTTTGATTTAATTCAGAAAAGGAGGGAAGTAAATGATTTAATTAATCCAAAAATTTGAATTTAAACCGTAATTAATGAGATAACAACGATTAATGATTGTGGAAGTTGGACGGATAATGGGCAGTTTAATCACAAGATCATATGTTTAACGGTTACTTAGTGGAGTATTTAAGAGAAATTAAAACGCAGACTCCTCGTATCCCGTACCTGGAGATATAAACAGAGGCGCGTCATCTCTCCTCACTTATTCACCAACACAAACCCAGAATTCTCGAGAGAGAAACCAAGAACCCGCATCAAAACTTCGCAAATTCCCCGAGCATTAAGCTTAGAAACTGAGACTTGCCACTACGAACTCGTAAATCGTCAACTTTCGCTTCAGATTAAGGTAAATTCCTTTGATTTCAGTTTATTTTTCTTCGAATTCGAACTCCTTCCCCTTTTCTTTCGGCTTTTTTCTTCGAAATAATCAATGGCAAGAGGAGTTAGAGGTAGAGCCCGTGCTCCAAGAAGAGCAAGGCCGATTCCCGATCCTAGGAACAGGATTGGGACCTGGAATGGACAAAGGCCAGAGTCTGACCCTGCTGAAGGGATTAGGGCGACTCCCCTTTCCTCGGCTCCTCCTCAGAGAACGGAGGAGCCGAGCGCTTCTGGACGGGATGATGAAGTTCCCGCTGTCCTTTGGGATATCCTCCCCGGGTTTTCAGAATGGGAGAATGCCGAAGTTGCTTCGGCCATGATAAAGAACCGCCCCTACCCATGGTGGGTGGAGAATGCCGATCAATATCGATTTGCCGAGCAAATTGAGTTGCATTACGGCATTTTTGAAGCTGATGGGTATTGGTGCCGAATGCCCTCGGCCTCCGATAGAATCCATCGTCCACCCCCGGGGTATGTGGGGGTGTACACAAGACAGCTTCAGTACGGGCTGAGGTTCCCTTTGGACGTATTCGTCCGAGACTTGCTGATCCATTACAACATCTCTCTATGTCAGTTAACTCCCACCAGCATCCGAAGGGTGATGACATACTTATGGGTCTGCAAGTTCTTCAAGTACGTGCTGAACCTGCACTGCTTCAAAAAGCTCCATCGGCTAGTGCCAAATATTCAAAGTGGGCACGGAAGCCATGGTTCTGGGTGGTACCGGATTGAGTCCCGGCCCCAATACCTAACCATGTGGCCAAACGACTCTTCAGACAAGGACTGGAGAGGTCAATGGATTTGGGTTAGGGCACCCACAGATCCGGGCCACCCTTGCGTCTTCAGCGCTCCCCGGTACCTCGCTGAGCCTGATCCCGAAATGGGAAGTCTAGGTCCCCCCGCAGATAACGGGGCGGATCCGAACCTGGATCAGCAACATATCTTCGGCAAGCTGCCGAACCGGGGGGGCAGTGGCCGAATGCAGCATATCCCGGAGACTTGGCTCCCCGATACGCATTACGTTTTCCAAGAGAACATGCTAGCAGCTGTTGGCCTCAGCCGAAAGTTTAAGGATGGTAAGCTTCTTCGGCTGGGGCCGAGGCTTTTTAACTATCTCTTTTTCTTCTCTCGCTTCGCTTTTTTATGCTGTGCCAACCTATCTGAGCTAACCTTTCCCCTTTCCTTTTTTCAGAGCGGGACGAGACCAACGTTGGCATTAACTACGCTCGTCTTGGTGTCAACCGAGAACGAGTTGTAACTGAACGGGCCCCGTCTATCACTGAGCCGAGGCATAGGGAAGTTCATCTAGACTCTTCCCACTTCCAAATTGAGGCTGTTGCTCTGTATCAGAGGCAGAAGCCTTGGTGGAAGAAGAGAGACCCCTGGTTTCAGCTGCTGGACGAAGAAGCTGAAGCTGCCCGCACAGCCGAAGAGGTTGCACGGGTTCTCGAAGCTTGCGAAGGAGGAGAAGGGTCCTCCAGAGCTGCTGAAGCAGAAGCTGCAGCTAGAGCAGCTGAAGAAGACGAGGCTTTGCTGAAGACCTCGGTGAGCTTTCAGACTTAACTTTTTCTTTTTTCTTTTCTTCTTTTTTTTTTTTTTTTTTTTACTCACATTCTTCCTCCCCCCTGTCTGTTACAGTCTGAAGAGAGTAACAGACACAGAGAAGGAAAGCTCCTACTCGTCCCGAAGACCAAATACAAGGAGAGTCTTCAGACTCAGATATGGACGAGCAGCCCCTTCTGAAAAGGCGCCGAAGGATGGCCATCATCGGCCCTCATGACTTTCAGAGGAGGCCGATGACCATCGGCGTTGCAATAAGGGAACCCGAGGAAGGCAATGGATCGCCGAGGGTTCCCCGGCCACCACCCCAATCACCTCAAAAGACCCCTCCGCCACCTCCTGAGATGGAGGTGGATCAGAGAAACTCCCGAATCTAAGGGAGGGGTCCAAGAAGAAATTAAGGAGAGTGCTGCTGAGCACGAAAACAAGGATGCCGTGATGTCCAGTGCTGAGGGCTTCACGGCAGACATCGCAAGAGAGGTTGAGGCTTTCGTCCTCACCCCTGAAGAAGAGGAGGTCATAGTAATTGACTCCTCTGAGAAGGATGATGCTGAGCCATCCAAAGCTAATCAAGCTCCATCGTCATCCTTCCCTTCTTTCCAGACTCTGCAATCTGGAGAAATGGGTTTCTCGGCCCCCCGAATTCCAATCCCAGACCACATCTGGGACCTCATATGGGGTCAGAACCGAGAAGGAGCTGCAGCCTACTTCGGCGATTTTGCTGGCATGTCCGAAGTAGATAGGGCAAGGATCTGGTCGCTGAAGGCCACTGCTGGGATGAGAGAATCCAGCAGATCAGTTCCTGACCCAGCCAGGTCTAACCAACTGCTGATGATGCAGGTAATTTTCCTTGTCTTCATTTCCTCTGAAATTCAGCTCTATATATTTTTTTTATTTTTTTTATTATTTTTTTTTTGTCTTCTTGTTTTCAGTTCGTGCACAATCAGACTCTCACTGTAGAGCTGATAGATACCCTACAAGATAGGGTAGACGCTGCTGTGCACGACAAGAAGGTGGCTGAAGAGGAATTAAAGCTTGTTAAGCTGAAGCAAGCAGCAGCTGAAGAGAAGCAGCAGAAGGGTGAGGAGTATGAGAAAGGAGCTGCTGAAGCCCTCAAAACCTTCTGCGACGCTATGGAGAAGGAAGTTTTTCCCCCACTGATGGAAGGGGAAAAATTCCTCCAGGAGCATATGGGAGTGGACGTCTCCAAATTCAAGGCTGCTGTTGAGAGTCGTATTCAGGAAGGAGCTGCTGCACAAGCTGAAGTGCAGCAACGTCTAGAAGCTCTTGAAGCTAGCCGAATGGCTGTTGAAGAGCTGCTCCGGGCCAAAGATGTCCAACTCTCAGAGGCTGCATGCTGCTGCCGAAGCTCAGAGAGCTAAACTCCATGAGGCTGAGGATCAACTGATGACACAAAAAGTTGAAGTGGCCCAAGCTCAGACAAAGGCTTCCCAAGTTCAGCAGGAGCTGAATGAGCTGAAAGGTTCCTCCTCCAAGCTCGCTGATGAGCTGAAGAAATCCAAGGAAGACTTGGAGGAGACCCAGAAGAAGCTGGCTGATGCTGAGGCTCTACTCAAAGTCCGTGTCTATACCCAAGAGGAATATGAGATGGGTTTCAGAAACGGGTTCCGAGTATGCCGAAGAGTCTGCCTTCATGCTGAACCGAAGCTGGACTGGTCTAAATGTGCTGAATGGGTCCAGAATCCCGAAGACCCTCATATGAAGTATGCAACTCCAGCCGAAGCTGAAATCCTTAAGGCTGAGGAAGCCGAAGAGGAAGCTGAGAGAATGGAGTTGGAAGCTGAACAGAGGGAAAGGGAGGCTCGGCAGAGTGCAAAGCCCGCTTCTTCTGCTGCTGGGGCTGAGGCCACCATGAGGCTCAACGCTGATCAGTCTGATCCTCAGGCTGAAGCATAGGAACTCGGGCAGTCGTCTTCAGAATCTTGCGGTTCATCATGTGCTTAACTTTAGACTTGCCGCTTTCTGAATTTTTTGCCTTGTTTTTTGCTTCAGCTTGCCTTGTCGTACAGCAGTTTATTTTTTTTTGCTTATGTACGTATTTCGGCAGCTGTTATTTTCCGCTTGTGGGCGGCTGCCGATACAGTTTAATTGAACTTGTAGCTCAATTTCTGAGCATGAATTATATATCTGATGTTCTTTTCTTCAGTTGCTTTGTTTTTGAATGCTTTACTGTTTCTGTTTCTTCAATTCTGCCGTACATACTTGCACTGAGAGTGCTTCTTGCCCCCCAGAAATTGAAGTATGACTTCAGCGGAATAAGCAATTTCTTCACTTCTTCAAAATGGGTATCCGAAACACAGGGCCAACTGAAGGCAATGCTTCTGGGATACAAGTCTTACTGAAGATTGACTTCATCTGAAAGTTGGATATCCGAAACACAGGGCCAACTGAAGGCAATGCTTTGGATATTAGCTTTCTGGGATACAAGGCTCAGTTAAGGCAATATCCCAGAATTGTCCATGGA